CAAGTTGATAGCCATGGTTATGTATTACTTAATAGAAATAAAAAAGTATAAATGTAAAAAGTCTCTATGGGTAATCCAGATGTCTTCAGGACTGAGAGCCACTGGTAGAGTTAAAAAGTGAATTAACAAAATCACATGAGACAAGCGATTAAAATTTTCTCTTACCAGCAAGATGTGATAGAATAGATTTGATCATTTCAAGGTTATTAACCTTAAAGAAAGCCACTTGCCAGTGATGGGGTAGAAAAGTCAGACCAGGAGTTGTTAAGGAGATTGAGAAAGGGGAGCGGAGGCCAAACACTGTCGGCTGTCTCCGGCGGGCAGCAGCAGGGCGGGCCGTTGGACCCATGACCCCTCTACTCCCCAGCTGACTAACTGTGGACGTGGGAGTGCTCCCGTGTTCCCCCGATTCCTTGTTGTAACACAGGACTAGTATTAGTTGCCTTAGAGGGTGACTGGGAATGACCCCCAAATGAGCTGACTGACATGGGCCTGTAAGTCCACTTGCGTAGACATATCCCATTTGACCCAAGAAAGGGGCTGGCACACTTTATCGGGAGGGTCTGGAAAAGAATATGTGGAATCAAGCTTTAAAAAACTTCTTGAGTCATAAGTGTTCACTTTCTTAACAAGGAGAGCGGTAGTGTTTAGTCCCCTCAGACCCAATGACCCCTTCATACAAACACTTTACTATCCTGAAATGAGATTCATAGATGAAATAACCTATCTACATACATTAAAAAATAATATAATGCCCAAGCTATTTTATGTAGGATAAATTAAAGTAGGTTACCATTAAATTTGTGATTTTCCATGTAAATACTTGTGCATGGCTCTATCCGTAGCACCGTGAAATACACAGATGCTGACGTCTATATGGACAATCAGCATGGATGTGACGGATGAAAACCTGCTTTGTCTATTTTATTATATCAGCAACTCAAACACCGTGAACAGCTTTGCTGGTGGTGACTTTCTGAAACGTGAAGAACTTTTGATAAAGTTCTGAAGAAAACAATGCACATTTCCCCTAATCTACACAGTAGACCCATTTTTGGAAAATCCAGTGGATATCGAAAACAATGCAGACTCTTGAACACAAGATATTTTGTGTTTATGTGGAAAATGGAGTTAGGTTTCTGGCTCAGGTCATTATAAACAGGCTTTTCATTGAGATGACCGTCCGGCGGGGCACAGAAAGTTCCGAGGCACTCAGGGCAGCCCTGTGCGCCGGGACTTCCCTGTGCCCTGCAGGACCTCTGCCCCAGTTGGCTGTCCTCTCACTCACTCATGCTGATAACCAAGAAAACACCACACACATTTCCAAAATGCCCACCAGAGGGTGGCACTGTCCCCTCTGAGAACCACTGCAGGGGGACATAGGACTATAATTGCAATCTGCGTTGGGAGGTGCACACTAAATGGTCGTTGAGTAGAGTGATTAAGAATCTCGCAGGTCCGCACAACCATGATTTTGAACTTTAGGTCACGCTGTGGACGGTTGGGGATATAAACAGAAACTCTGCAGAGGGAGAGCCAGATGTTTTCATCTTCCGGGCCCAACCCAGTTCCTGGGACGTGGCTCCCTTTTAATGCTACATACCAGTGATTTTAAACCCTTTTCTCTCATGGCACACATAAACTAATAATTACAATTCTGTGGCATACCAAAAAAATATAATTTTTGCTGAGCTGACCAACAATAAACGTAATATTGTTGTGTTTACTGTTGTCATTTTTTAATGTGACAATCTAAGGGAAAAGAGGTCACTGACCCTGACTAAATAAATAGTTGGGTACTGCAGGTTTTAAAAATTCATGTGGCACATTAGTTGAAAATTGCTGCTATGTAGAGAAAAAACATGTAAAGACTTAGACCCATGCTTGGGTGATGATAAGAACTGAATGAATGTTAGTCACTAGCATGATTACTCATCAGAGCAGGAAGAACACCTGTGGGGAGACGATGCTGGGTTCCCTGACACATGCCGGTGTCGCTTTGATTGGCAGAGGTGGCTGGAGATTGTCATTAAGATTAAAAAAGAAAAAAAGAAAGATTCCTTCAAAGACTCCGTAAGTGGGTGGCACAGATCATACTCCCTTGCTGTTTTCTTTTCCCCTGCAAAGAGAATGTAAGATCAGATAGGACTTTATTGCTGGTAGTTTAAGTTGTTGCTTACATCAGCAAAAAATACTCCTGCTGGGATGATGGTTCAGGTAGGGGTTTATTTATTCTCCTACATACAAATACATGGAGACATGTAAAGAACATGCCTCTTATATACTTTATCTACTTTTTGGTTGTAAGTGATTTGTGCATCTGTAAACTTGGAAAGAGAAATACAGTTCTCTTGAACATGCAGAATTTCAGCTACAAAGGAATTCTCAGCTCTAATAAGAGTGCATAATCGAGAGAATGTGGAAAAAAGGAGGAAGTAATTTAAAGAGATGGTTCTTGTTTTTCTTGAGTAAAGCATCTATAAAATGCAAAAGAAAATGGCTCTGGACTCTGGAATCAGGAATTCACGAAGCCAGCATTTTGCAATAACATCCCTTTTAATCTAGAAATCTCACAACAGTTTATGGGCACTAATTAAGTTTCGCCATACTCGTACAACTCACACTGAGCTTTATTTACTCCCTTTTTACTGAGGCAATCCAGGGCAGAGAATGTTTAAAGAGTTACTTGAAGTTACAAAGCTGAGATTTGAACTCTGTGCCCAGAAACTCTGGTCCAGAGAGGGAGGAGACCCACATGGTGGCTTGACAGTTCACCCCTGGCTGATGTTCTGTGGAGCAGGAAGTGATATCCAGCAATTCTGAGAAGGAGAAAAAGCTAGGAATTTGAGGAGGGTCTAGGAGACCATGAGTGGGGACCAGAGATCCTGATGTGCCATGATGGTACAAGTACCTGGTGGCTCTTGCCACCACATTGCTGTCTTAGCTTGCCATGTTCCTGAATGGACACATGGGATTACAACTTACAACAACCACTGTATGGTCTTCTTGAGAGGTAGGCTTGAGTAGTCTATGGGTGGATAAGACTTGCGACAGGGGAATGAGGGGTGTGGTCTGATATTGGTGGACAGAGGGACTGGTCAGTTACCAACTGAAGGAGCACTGGGAAGAAAATCAAAGGGTAACAGACTGTGTTCTTCTCATTTGCCATCTTGGCCTTCCTGATTTATTTTTTAAAATTTTATGTATTGATGAGAGAGAGAGAGGCAGACAGACAGACATTGATTTGTTCTTCTACTTAGTTATGCATTCATTGATTGATTCTTGTATGTGCCCTGACTGGGGATCAAACACACAACCTTGGCGTATCAGGATGATTGTCTAACCTGGCCAGGTTGCCCTCTTTAAAAAGAAAGAAAAATGAATAAACAAAAACAAAGCACAGGCTAGATCGGAGATCAGTTTCAGGCGGCTAATTAGAACAGCTACGCCAGAGACATATCCAGGGCCAGACTTGTCCGGGACCCAAAGTAAATCCATCTGGGCCTATCAGAAGTTTTGAACAGAGACTAAAATTAATTTTAAGTAAAGCACTTTCTCTCTCCATACTACCTGAAGGTGAATTTTTAAAGATGATGCATGTTTTTACTTAAATGGAACTATAAGAATCATAAGAGGGGAACAACTGGGAAGTCCCAGCAAAGGCACGGGCAAATTGTGTGTGGGTCCCACAGGCTCCAAAATTATTATATTTCCGAGATTAAATCAAATACATAAAATAGCAGCAAATCATTCACTTCTTCAAAGAATATTACATATCAAATTGCAAGGGAATTTATTATTATTATTATTATTTAATGTTTTATTTATTTATTTTTAGACAGAGGGGATGGGAAGGAGAAAGAGAGGGAGAGAAACATCAGTGTGTAGTTGCCTCTCACATGTCCCCCACTGGGGACCTGGCCTGCAACCCAGGCATGTGCCCCGACTGGGAATCGAACCATGACCCTCTGCTTCACAGGCCAGTGCTCAATCTGCCGAGCCACGCCAGCCAGGGTGCAAGGGAATTTATTAGCACATCCAAATCTGAAACAGAAAAGTTATTACATATTTACAATGCTAAGTTACAAATAGGAGGCAGAAAGCAAAAAAATTCTGGTTCCAATCTGTTTTTATTCCAAATTGCATTTTATTAAAAACAAGTACTTTACAAAGGGTCTAGTCCATAACATAACAGAAAAATAATACAAATCAGAAGTATGTAAATTGTATATTTTCATTAAACAACATTAAAGCAGCTGCAAGTAACAGTTAATACAGCTGTGTATATAAGGATGGTTATAGATGAGATTACACTTAAAATCTTGCTTATGCTGTTTAGGAAAATGTTAAGATGATATTACCTTTACCAGAAAACATACAGCAAAAGTAGTCAAGCTAGCATTCTATCATCCACATTCCAGTAAGCTGCCATATAATGGTAATTGGTGTTTATGATTTGGAGGTTATTAAAAGATCCCCAAATACTTTTTAGGTTATCAAAGAAAGATAACATGGTATTTGATATTTTTTAAACCTTTGACATAGCTTTAAAGGTGAGTTATTTGATGGTCTTTTGGGTCTTGAAAATTTGGGAAATCATATATGGTATAGAAACATTCTCTTAATCAGAACATACGTTAACCAGAAAAATCCATTCTCTAATCTACTGCACCTTAACAGACAACTTGTGAAAAAGGAAACGTGGCCAGGGCAACACATTTCCTCTTTTTGTAAACCTTAAACTGAGTATGTCTCTCCTCACCAATTATATAGGGTCCCTTGGGTCTCAGAACTTTCCATAAGTGGTTAGGTCTCTATGGCAATGCACCTGGCTGCTGAGGCAGAACACAGGTGACGAGGCAGAGGCCAGGCATTGGGAGACTGTGGGGAGTGTGGCTGCAGAAGTCCACGCAGGGGCTTCTTGAACTTCTAGAACTGACTGCTCAGCCTTGTCTGGAATTTGCAGAGCCACAGGCCAGCCTGCCCTGACTTCCCACCTGTCCAGCAAAGCGGGCACCACCCACCACCAGGTGGCAGCTTTGGAGTCTGGGGTGCTTTTGATGGCTGCCCATGCGGGGCACTGGTGGCTCCCTCTGGGACCCCGCTTCCGTTGATGCTTGAGTATCACCCTTCTGGTGCCCTCAGAGGCTATGACTCAGGTGAAAGGAGTCCGTCTTGCCCAGCCCCTTGGTCTCATGCAGCCTTTCAGCATCCCGGTTCAGATTACACTCCAGGGTGGCCGGCAACGCCAGGGGAGGTAAGTGACCACCAGAATCTCTCAGACTGCAATGGGGATCTCGCTCAACAGTGGCTAGAGGAAGAGCAGCCACGACAAGTCTGGCTGTTGAGTTTGGCCATCATCCTCTAAGGATGCCTACTTGCTGCCTCCCAGGGCAGTGATGTCCGGGAGGCTGCATCCTTTCTCCTTGGTTTCCTCCTTCAGGTTGCAAGTTTTTGGAGGCCAGTGACCTTTTAAACTCCTCTCTGGCTCCCAAGCACTAGAACATGGCCCAGCACATAGTTGGTGCTCAATAAATGTCTCTAGGTTGAGTGAAGGAATGAGGAGATGACTGCCAGTATTTGGTCCCATTGGTGAAGCCTGCTTGGGTCTTGGAGTCACAGGCCTGGATTCAAATCCCAGCTCTGCCACTTAACTAGTGAGATGGCTGTGAGCAAGTCACTTAACTTCTCTCTGCCTCATCCCCTGGTCAGTGAAATGGAGATAGTAATAGCCTTAGCATGCTCTCTATAGTAGTTCCTCATACCGTCTATACATTTTAGCCATTGTTATTAACCACCTTAAGGGAGGAAGTGAGGTTCCTTCTTAAAGGGGAAAGTGAGATAGTTATGCTATCTTAAGGACATTCCTCTCTTTTCTCCCTAGGGGAATGCAAAGCAGAGTGTCCAAAGGCCTTAAGCTGCACTCTTTCTGCTTGTTCCTGAGTTTGGTGGGGGACAGTCAGAAGCGGAACCAAAACTGACAGAAGGGCAATGCCTCAGGGTATTGGAGGAATGGGATCTAAAAAACTAGCCAGCTTATTCCTGGGAGGGGTACATTTCACAGCCAACTTCACTCACTCTGTTTAAAAACCTAATGGTTTCTCAGTGGTTGAGGCAGAGTTGGGAGCTGAGAAAGTGGAAGCGATGAAGATCACGATGGGCGTCACATCACCCACCTCCCCCACCCTTTAACTGCACTCGAGGGTATTGGAGAGAAAGAATGCAGGAGGGTGAGATACAGGGGTTTGGACGGATGTGGGGCTGGAGGAGGAAGGCGCAGGCAGACCACAGAGGAAGAGATACAGGCAAAAACACTTCTCTTCTAAAAAATGAACTCATGCTTTTGTGAAAAGACAGTTAAAGCAAATCACTGTATGGCAGAAGATCAAATGACAGACTTGCAATGAAACAAGTTTTAAAGCCCTGTTCTTAACATAATTAACCAGAGAGGCAGCTGTGTTCTCCCCGAAGCAATACTCTCCCATTTTCATTTCTGAAGTCCATGACTGGATTATTGCTTTTTCCACTTACCAAACTTGATGAACCTCATTGACTTAGCCTCTTAGCTGTTTCAAAAGAAGATGTTAAATGCTTTTATAATTAAAACAATAGAAGGGGGTTAAAAAAATAGAAGGGTAAAAACAATTACCCAAATCTCTTCTGCAACACAAAGTAAAGGGAGATATTGATTTAACATACACAATGCTTAGACATTACATACACATGTGAAATGAGTGTCAGATGAATTATCAGGCTTTGATGAACTGTGGCATCTTTCTAAGGAATACTTTTATTTATCTTTATTGTGTTTTTTCCCCCATTGCCCAATAAGTCCCCTTATATCCCCTCCCCACAGCAGTCACCGAACTGTTGTGTGTCCCTGAGTCCTTTCTGGAGCACATTTTGCTCAAGTTACAGTGTAAGAGGGAGAGGCTGCTACCATCTGCAGGGATCACGCAAGGGGCATGTTGAAACCTTTGAAACCGAGTTTGCCTCAGGTTAAGCCAGGAGGCGCCTGTAGCAATGTATAGCATCAGAGAATGTGAAAGTCAGTTCTGTCTGCAGGGGTGATGACAGAAAGGGGGCGGGTTTCTGCCTTGACCGAATAAAACATCTTCAGGTAACACACTGGTTACAGGAGGAGATGTACAGCTGGCAAAAAGGAATAAAAATGCTGTTTGCTTATCTCCGGCTGGAGAGCAAAATTAGATCATTCTTAAGTGCTTTGAGGTCCTTGGATGAAAGGTGCTTGTAAATACCACACAATTAATTACAGGGATGTTTATGGTCTTGGAAAACTTATTCAACAATAAGGAAATGGTTAAGGAAAGTATGGCATATCCAATTGATAGAACAGTATTATGTAGCCAACAGAAGTATTACAATGAATTGCTACTGACATGGGATAGTGCTTATTAAGTTAAATGAAAAAGGCATGATTAAAAAAAAAACCCCTATATCTAGTGTGCTCTCATTCTATTTAAAGCAATATAGGGGAGGAGAATAACCCACTAAGTGAACAGTCATTAGCTCAAAGTAGGAGAATTGTGGATGACTTTTCTCTATTTTTTGAACTTCAAAAAATGAACATAAAAGGTACTATTACTTTCATGAATTCTTTGACATTTGTTGAGGCTTTCATTATGGCTCAGTTTGTGGTTAGGTCTCATAAATGTTCCATACATGTTTGAGAAGAACATATGTTCTGTAGAGGATGGTATTCTACATTATCATGGAGATGGAGCTTGTTAATTGCATTGCTCGAATCTGTTTCCTTACTGATTTGTCTGGTTAAGCTGTTAGTTACCGAGGGAGTATGTAAAAGTACCTCATAATCTGATAGCAGATTTTGTCTATGTCCCTCTGCAGTTCTGTTAATAAGGCAATGCTATTAGGTACATGTAAGTTAGTATTAGATTTTTCAGGTGAATTTTTAAACCTTTAATTAATGTTATTACCTTCTTTACTTAAAGCTTTTTGTTAGACTTTGCTTGACAAATTTCAACCTTTCTATATCTGTGTTTTAGATGCATCGTTCATAAAAATTATGTTTAAATCTAGTCCCATAATCTTTCTCTTTTAACTGGATCATTTAATCCATTAGGTTTATTGTCATTACTGGTGCACTTGGATTTATTCTACCATGTTTTTGTGCTGTCTACTTGTCCTGTCTTTTCCATGGAATTTCACCCTCTTTCTTGATGGTTTTTTAAAATTGATTTTTCTTCCCTTCCATTCTTTTTTCTTCTCCTAGTTTGGAAGTTAAGTCAGCTATGTACATTCTCTTAGTGGATACTCCAGACATTTTAGCACGCAGCCTTGAGCTTATCATTGAGAAACCAATGTCGGTCTGTTCAGTCAGAAAAAACGTCAGGCTTTCAGGACACACACTGTCATCTCCTGTACATTACATGCTCTTGTTATGTATTTATCTTTTCTTCTAACTCCGTAATGATGGGGATAATTTTATTTTCAAATTTTAAAATAGTTTAAATTTAAATATTTAATTAAATTTAGATATTATTTTATAAAGTCAGTATCTTTTTTTAACCCCCTAAATCCCCTGCATTTCTGTTTAAATCTCTGCTCTTCCATCTGAATTGTCTTCCCTGTCTCAGGTAAACACCTGACCTTTTCCTCAGTGGGGTTTGATTGCTGGTCAGCTCAGCTTTGTGTGCTTCTGAAGTGTCTTTATTTCAAACTTATTCTTGAGGGATTTTTGCTTGGTGTGGAGTTCTGTAGTTACTTTCTCTCAGCGAATCAACAATATTTCTGTCCTTGCGGTAGAGAAGTTTCAGCCTATCTGTCATTCCTTTGAAGTGAGTCTGTCTTTCCCTCTGGCTGCTTTTAAGATTTGGCTTGTCTTAGTGTCTGTGCAACGTCTCTGTGACGTGTGTAGGTGTGGGCTCCTGTTTATTTTATCTCAGTGGGCTTCTGGAATCTGGGGTCTGTGGTCTTCATCAGTTCTGGAATGTTATTATCTTTTTAAATGTTCTGACTTATTTCTCCTCTCTTTTCCCTCCAATTCTGAAAAGGCTTTATGTTAGACATTTGCTATTTATTGTTCATGTTTCTGGACCTCTCTGCATTTGCTATTAAAGAAACCTCTCTGTATTATAAGATGTTTTGCAGACCCCCTCTCTGTTTACTAATTAATTAGCTTTTCAGATGTATCTAATCTACCGTTAGATCTTTCCACTGAGTTTTTTAATTTCAATGATTTTATTTTTTTATTTCCAGAAATTCTATTTGATTTTTAAAAAATATTAGATTGGGCATATTTCAGAGTCCTGGGCTCTTTCTGATATTTCTCATCCTTTCTTTATTTCTTTAAATATGCTCTAGATACAGTTTTATATGCTGTCTAAATATCTGAAGTTTTTGGTGGACGGATTCTGTCATCTATTTTTTCTCACTCAAAGTCCCTTGCTGTGTGTTTTACGAGTTTTGAGTAACAACACATTCCCCTTGAAACTTTATAGGATTCCTTTGAGGTGAGTTCCTCTAAAGTATGTATTTGCTTCTGCCAGCTGCCAAAGGGACACATACTTGCGACAACATTGAATACAATTGTTAGGTTAAGGTTTTTGAATTTCTTAGGTAGTGTGAATTCAGGCTAAAATTCTCTTGAGGATCACTTTAAAGTTACAAAATCTCAGGGGAGAGATTGTAATTCCCACCCCCACCTTTACTGGTTTGAGGGTTTGAGGTGGTTGTTTCTGGTTTATCTGTACACTGAGTATGGGGTCCTTTGGGGCCAGTTCTAGCTGAGTGGTGCATTGAATCCGTACCTTGGGTAGGCCCAGGGCTTTGTTTACTGTCCTCCTTCGCTCCCTACACGCTGTGGTGATGAAGCTCAAGGTCACCAAGTTCTGCAAATGCCCTTAAGGTAAAAGTTTCCTTCTGTCTACTTTCCTCCCCGAGTTCCTACTTTCAGAGAGGTTTTGTACTTTGAGCATTTCCAGCTTTTTTAAAAAAGCTTTGGCCAGAATTCGTAGTTGTTTAGCAGTTAGAGTGGGTGTCCAGTCCACCATCCGAGTAAAACAGTTTAATTACTTTACAATAATAAAAACATATCTGTGTACTCAATTTTTTTAAATTTATTTAATTGTTGTTCAAGGACAGTTTTCTATCTTTTACTCCCATCCTAGCCTGCCCACATTCATTTTTAGTGACTATTTTATGTTAACCTTCCCCCCCAAACATGAATTAACTTCTTCATAAGTGATCAGTGAGGTTGTTGACTTTTCATAAAGCCTTGAAACAAAGTGAGCAGAAATATCAGAAAGAAAAAATACAGTCTAGTATTATGTGACCAGTTCTGTCTTATTCCTAAATTAGATCAGAATCAGGTTATGCCGGTTTTGTGTACCATGCAATTATAGTGGATTTGTTAAGGCAGTGCATCGGAAATGCCAGAGAGACTTCATAATAAGCTTCTTCACACACGGCCTCCATGGTCCCTATAGGAAACCTCCAGGCTACCTTATGCTACAAAGCAACTGCAGCCCATTTCCAGAGCCCCAGGGAAAATGCAGGGTCTGGGCACTGGGAGTGTACCCGACAAACTATCCAAATCTTAATCTGTCATGTCTGTTGATACATTGTAAAATGTACTGGCTCAGATTTCATTAAAAATTTTTCTCCTGCTCATTCTCTGAGGGTGGGATGGTAGAGGGTGACTAAAATAACAAAGGAGACTAAAAATCCCCCAACCAGGTCCTTCATCCCCAAAGTGTCACTAACCACAGAGAGCTACCATCCTGGAGGCAGTGCCTCCAGGCGCGGGTTCCTGAAACATCCTGGATTGTCTGAGGTCCCCCTTTGGATGTCAGACTCTCTTTGGAGTCTGAAGATGTTGCCAGTAGAAAGGGAGTGAGGGAAAAGAAGGGGAAGGGTGGGGGACCAAGTGTAACACAGGCTCTGGGAAGAAAAAAGAACAACAAATAAACCTAGCCATTCCCTCAACAGGGTTTTTGCTTGGCTTCACAATTTAGATAGCTTTTATGTAGCTGAATGGAGCCTGACTCTCTACCATTATAGCTGCATTCCTTTGGCTTAAGATTTTTGTCGAGCCTCTCAGATTGGAATTACCTTCGGGCCTGAACTGCTTTCTGAGTGGGGGATAGCAAATAAGTGGCACTGGCCGTAGAGAGTGGTGGGACTGAGGCAAATGGGAGAAGACACTGCTGTCCTCAGCAGCAGCAGCCTCTGCTTGGGTTGGCCAGCTGTTCATAGGCAGGTATGTGGACCTTGTGATGCTTTCAAAAGTCAGAAGTCAGCATTTTTATGAGACTTCATGATTTTTAGAGTGTTAGTGATTAATCACACATTAAAAAAAAAAACCCCACACACAGCCAAAGAAAACGTATTTACGAGCTGGATTCTGTCCATGGCTCACCAGTTTGTAACCTTTGTGTTGGACCTTACTATTCACTATACACCCCATCGTGAAAAAATTTATTACATCCTTTGCTACAGCAGAGCATGGAGAGGGAGGAAAGAAACGTAGGGCCACTCATGGACAGAGAGAAGTGGGGTGAAGTGAGAGAAGACAGCAGTGAACCCTTCATCATTCTGAGTGGACTGGGCCTGGGGCCAGAAAGACCTATGGCAGCCAAGCTGTCCTCCCAACAATAGCTGGATATGAAAGATCAAGTCAAGTCCTAGTTCAGGATGCTGTTGATTCCAAATGTGAACTTTTTGAGTCATTCTTTCCGAATGAAATTCCTAAAAGAATGTTAAAAATACTTTCAGGGGCATGTGCAATAACCCTGAAAGGTAAGCAAGTTCATACCATTTATTTACATAAAAGAAACGAAAGCTAGTTCAACAGGTAATTCTTTCCTAGACATTGATTAGGCAGGCCTCTGAAGACTTCCACCGGGCAACATTCCTTAGTGTTGTTTGTCCCATTCAAGAAGAAAATTTTATAACACATCATTTTAGCATGTTCAGAAAAAACTTTTCACCAAGCTCTGAATATGGGATCTTACTGTGTTACATCGAATCTGCTCACAAGCCTTAGGTGGGCAGCAAATGGGATGATCGCCCCACCCACCAGGGGCTGGTAATTGTTCCGACGTCTTTATAAGCTTATTGAAATATCTCTTTCCCATTTCCACCAAAGGAAAGCCTTATCTACCTCAGGGAGGAAGAGAAATACAGACCACAATGGTGGGCACCCACCGAATGGGCCAAAACAGCTGCCTTCCAGTGCTGGAGAGGACCGAGCCATGCTGCTTGGGTTCACAATGGTGGGCTTCTCAGTTCTAATGTTCTTCTTGTTTGGAATAACTATCCTAAAGCCCTTCATGCTCAGGTAAGAAATAGAGAAAGATAGACTCAGAGTTTCCGGTTCAGATGAGAAGCAGGCACAACGCGTAGGGGAGGGGAGTCTGGCTTTGGTTTCTGCAGCCCTTCTGACCAGAGCTGAGGACAGGGAAGGTAGGATCACTTGTCCCTCCTTCCGGGCTGGGAGGCAGCTGGGTATGGAGGAAGAGTTGGTAAGAAAGTGGAGGATATTTCTTTGCTGCTCCCCAACTCCAATCTCAAAAATATTTTCAACAGCTAATCCACAAATTAGGTACGCACGTAGGTGATACATCCCTCCTTTAATACACAGGGAAGGTGCACTGAAGCCTTCCTTCTACATGGGCACAATAAAAGGTCTGGGGTCCGAGCTTTTTGAGTTTGACAACATCTACCTGGCCCATAGTAGTTGCTCAATAAATATTAGTTTCCTTCCTTTTCTTTTAATTAATTTCCTTATTGCATACACGTAATAGTAGTTACCATTTATTAAATATATAACACATGACAAATATACTATGTTTTATCCTATTTAAACCTACAATAAACCCATGATGGCAGCATTCTTTTACTTTTGTAAATGAAAAAGCTGAGGCTCAGAAAGGCTAAGTAACTACCAAGGCCACACAGCCAGGAAAGAATCCGCCTGTCATTCTTAGGTAAGACAAGAATTTCCTAATACGTCAGTGAAGTTCCCTGCAATTCGGGGAGGTGGGGGGTGTGTTTTGATTAGGCAGGAGAGGAGCTGTTTAATTTTGGAGAATGGCTCACATACCAGGAAGTACTTGGGGGGAGGGCAGTGCTGCGAAAGCAAGGGCCAGGGGGAATGGGGTAAGGGGGGCCTGTGGGTTCAGTGAAAAGAGGTCATAGAAGAGTAAGTGGGTGGCCTACTTGCAGTATGTATCAGAGTCATCTCCCACCATTCCTGTGTTAACATTATTAAGGTAACAATGTGGAGGTGACCAGCCACTATAGCACACAGTGACACCCTTAGAAGGTCCACAAGGCACTTTCTATCTGGGATTAGCACCAGAGAATCTGTTCTGCCACTGACCAACCTGCTTATGTTTATTCAATGGACACCAGCAATGCTATACCTGGTTGTGTTTCCTTTATTGCTTTTGCTGTTAAGAAGCTCAAAGCCAAGTTTCATTTCTCATAACTAGAAGGGATCTTATGATCTGCAGGTTACATGTTTGAACCTCACTCATGACTTCATTCTAGTTTTCTACTTTCCTTTGCCTCTTATTCTATTTATATCTAACTAATCTCTATCTAATCTGTATTACATATAGCTAGATAAACTGAATAAATATGTATATAGGCATGGAATACTTTTTAAAAAAATGTGATATATTTGGGAGATGGTTTAAGGATACCTTTTGCAAATTGGCATCAAGCTGTCACTCATATTTAAAAAATACTTTTCTAAACATTTCTGGAAATTATTTATTTTTTAAGAATATATTTTATTGATTATGCTATTATAGTTGTCCCATTTTCCCTCCTCACTCCCCTCCACCCTGCACATCCCCTCCCACCCACATTCCCCCCCTTTAGTTCATGTCCATATGTCATCCTTGTAAGTTCTTCAGCTTCTACATTTCCCATACTATTCTTACCCTCCCCCTGGAAATTATTTACTTAAAGTAATTTACTGAATGCTTAAGCGTGGTGAATTGTCATCTCTCTTTTGCCTTGCAATCTTGTGTCACCACAGATAAGTTTCACTCCATAAAAGATGATAGTTAAGAGGCTTGGGTAGCTTATACCTACCCCAACTCGCTTAAACCCTCATCTCTCAGTGAAATGATGGATTTTGTCTATTTGTGGACAAATGAACACACAATGCTATTGAAAGAACATGCTCACTTTTTTCAGCCCTAAGTATACCCCTGGTTCCACTTGGAAGGCCCTGGCCGGGCCCCTGTGCATAGCAGAGTGTCCCGCTCTCCACATTGGGGCTTCCTGAAATCTTCAAAGAGGGTTTGAGTCACCTTCCATTTGTCACTTAGGATTTAGAGAACTTCAGTTCTAACTCAGATAAGCAGACAGTTCTAAATGTTTGTTTAAGATGCCCAGTCTAAGTAAGTAGAGAAATTAATTGTGTGAAAAATCAGACCAGTGCTAAATTTGTGAAAGAACCTTACTCTCCATTTTTGCATTTTCACTTGTCCGGCATTTTATTCTTCTAGGCCACCTCCAGTGATTTTTAAAAAAATGTCTTAAGATCATGTTAAAGTGCACCATCTGTCTCAGGTTTGTTGTATTAAGAAAGCAAAATGACGATTGATGGTCAAAGATCTTAATGAGAGATCTTAATGAGGTATGGACCTGGCTAAAAATGCTATTCAAATATTGACTTTAGGATTTGCTGCTCTAACTTCTTGTTTTTAAGGCACCTGGAAATAAACATGGGGACCCACTTCGAGGTGAGTGTGCGTCAGGAGCTTGTCCTACACATTCAATCAGAGCATATCCTCTTACTCTCTCCTACTTCATACTGGGCTTGTTCTCTAGTTATTTTGCACCTACACATCCTTTCCCTTCAACACCACCTCAAAGTCTTCATGGGCAGGGACTTTGTCTGCCGCTTCTCATTGCTCTGTGACATTCTGTGTATGTCATATATGTGCAAAGTCTCTAGGAATGTTTCCAAGCAAAAGTTAGTTTAGTCCAACATCTACTGAGACTTTACTATATGAGAGGCATTGAGGAACGTAAGCTTTAAGCTTTGAGGAACGTAAAGGCGAATAGGATATAGGTCCTGACCTCAAGAAATTACTGAGAGCAAAAACATGGTGAGTTTTCTAATGAGAGACTGTTTGCATGAATTGCAGTTGCCTCTTTGGAAGCACAGCAGGTAAATATAAATGGAACTGTATTTCATTACCAGAACTTTTGGAGGCTGCATTGATGAAGAGCCTTGTGGCTGGACTTCCTGCAAAGGATGCATTTTAGGATGAGGCATGAGAGATGATGATTTCTGAGTGTATGTGAATCTTGTTGATTGCAGGATTGAGGGTAATATTGACCAAAGTATGGTTGTCCAGATACATATTCCTTTAAAACCGTTCAATAGATGGGGATTCCTGGGCTTTAACTTCTATCCACTGAATCTGAATCTCTGTGAGTAAAGCATGGAATCCACATTTTAACAAATTCTTCATTCTAACAAACTCACTCAGATGACTTTGAAGTTTGAGAACCATTGATCTGAAGGTTGGTGTAGTGAGACATGCGCCTGGTGGGTCATAATTGAGATAAACTTGGCCTTTGCTGCTCTTTATGTCCTGCTCCACGTCCTTCATGCTCCCTGGTTATTTATTGTGTGCCTGCTGTTGATGGTCTTCCATTACTCAAAATAGACAAATGTCCCGGGTTACCACATTAGAAATATAGAACTACATTTTTCCAGAGGGTGAAGATCATTAATTTAATTTTTTTCAAATTAAAGTACTCAGAGAGAAGAATCTAACTGCACTATCATCCATACATGTATCACGGATGACTGGTTGGACTGTTCTTTCACCTGTGGTGTGGATTGCCAGGGTCAGGGCAAGTACCCTTGTCTGCAGGTGTTTGTGAACCTCACCCATTCAGGTCAGAAAGCTCTCCTACATTATAATGAAGAGGCCGTCCAGATAAATTCCAAGGTAATGTTCTAATTACAAAGTTCTGGTTACAGCAACCCTTTCACACCAGGCTGTGCCTTGCACAACACAATATGTACAGCCATTCCTAGGGATAAATTTGTTTCCTTCCAGTTAATGTTTTGAGAGTGGTCAAGTAAGAGTAAATGAAGCTAAAAGCATCGTTGGAGGAAAAAATGGAGTAAATAGAAATGGGAGAAATTATTGCAATTTCACCAACTTGTATCTGGAATTTATAGGCTGAAGTCATTTCTGGGAAGTCTTACTTTTCGGAGATCCCACTCTCTGTCGTATCAAAAATGGTAAAAGGCACCACACTCCACCTTAAATCAAGCAAGTAGTTTTTCTCCTCTGAGAAAAATTAAAGGGCGACTATAATTTTGATTTTAGTAAGTTACTCAGCTGGCTCATATAAAGTGTACATCTACATCTATTGGTCAAAGTTGAGTTGTATGAGGTTCCTTGAAACATGACCCTTTGTTGCCTTTATTTAATCACTAATTTTAATCTGATGATTTGTGGTTTTTTTTGATGCAATCATTTTTAAGGTCTCCAACATTTTTATAGGCCATTGGCACACTGCTTGGAGTGCCTAGTGGAGGTCATTTTAAACCTCAAGCTTTTTTTAAAAAAAAGCATCAGCTGCTAGAGCTCCTTATCTGGTTCTGCCTCCCAGGAACCAGAGCCTAGGCAGGGCCCCTCTCTGTGGGCCTAGGACAGAAGCCTCAATGTGCTAATCCTTTAGGGAAAGATTTTACTACAGGAAATTAAGACAAAGACAATAAAGAAATCAATAGGTGTTGAAAGCATATAGAAAGCTCAACAAATGCTTGTTGAATGACAAATGGATTGAGTTATTGTCCAGGAAGAGACCCAGTACCCACATGTCAGGAGTGTGGTCCTTAGGAAGTTGGTCATTGCCTATTCTGCAATGTCTTTATTCTAAAAATACTTTCTCACATCCCTGCTTAGTGCCTGGGAATGGCCTTTCCACTCTGTGCCCTCCTGCCAACCCCTCCCTGTGAGCTATGTAATAGGTTTGTTTCATCATCTTCTGAGGCTGAAACTCCCCATCAATAGCTTTGCTTTGAAGCTTTCAGAATTAAAACTGTTAAGTGCTTGGTCTTGGGAAGACTGCCTTCATCTTTCTTCTTTCTCCATATCCCTAGTGCTTTTACACACCGAAGTGCCACCAAGATAGGAGTGATTTGCTTAACAGCACTCTGGACATGAAGGAGTTCTTCGATCACAAAAATGGGACCCCCTTTTCATGCTTCTACAGTCCAGACAGCCAGTCTGAAGGTGTCATTCTCAGAACAAAGTACAACCGAACGGCTATCTTCCACTGTTTCTTTTGGCCTTCGTTGACTCTGCTGGGTGGTGTCCTGATTGTTGGCTGGGTGCGATTAACACAGTACCTGTCCCTGCTGTGTGAACGAACGGTACAGCGCTGCATTCAGGGTGGCCAAGTATCTTATAGGGAGCAGTATCGATTCAAACTTGGAGTGTGGGGAGAAGCAAGGGGAGGGGCAGAGAAAGCTTATTAAGGTGGTGGCCAAATTGAAGTCCTGGCTTTAAGACACCTGGGATTTCTGCACTTGAGGACTTAATTATGCCTGCTTGCAAACTAGCCACAAGAGGCAGTTAAGTATAATATGGGAATGAAAAGAAAATTTTTAAGTCTCACATGTATTCTATTTATCTTATAAATACATACAGATTCACCATCTTTTCTACTCAAAATCTCTTTCCACATGAGCCAAAGAAGCACTTTTTGTACTCACATGGTAAAATGAGCTCAAGGTAGCTGTCCTTTATCTAATCTCAGCTCTAGCTAGAACTTGTCAATGTGGAAAGAATGATGAGGGTATGCAACCTACTGAGCACTGAACAACCAGTCTAGTTCTATGCAGTGTACTTCACATTAAAATAGATCTCAGAAAAATTCCAGATGAAGAACAGTTCACTCACCAGAGGAAGATGGTGACTGGGTAATCTAAAACGTGGGTCTGCCACTTTACTTCCCATTCACAATAGAGGGAAGCCCCTGCCTCGAAAATTCACTAAGTTTAGAGTTATCTGTACCTAACTTTCCTATGTACCATGTAATTTTTCTTTCAGCAATATATTTTTCCTTAATTACTCTTCCTGTAAGCTCATGTAGTTCTTGGTACACTTTCTGGAGAGATGGCTAGAAATGTGTTGTGAAGTAGGTAAGCTGTAGTGGATGGAGTTTAAAATTCGTCTCGGGTAGTCTACACTGTAGAGAAGTCTCACCTGGATACTCAACAACTGTCCATACATTAACTGAGGAATAAACTGTGGGTATTAAATCATGAAAGTCACAAGACTCTCCCAACAGGTTCCTCCCAGATTAAGCTGAATATGAGTTGAAAACCCGTTCTGAAAACCAACATGCCTTAAAGTAGCTTTGAAATTTTACTAAGAAAATCTACTTCATGGACAACAGAAAGAGACTTGAAGCAACGTTTGCATGTAGATGTTATCAAACCGAAACTTTGATCCTCGGCCAATTCGATGCCTTTTAGAAATTAAAGTCACAAATTACCAAATAAACAATCAAACTGAGCAACATTGACTTGGCCAGTAGTAAACAATTTTCGTGTTTTCTCCTCTTTCTGGTGTGGAGTGGTAGAACTCGTGTCTCAGAGCAAGAGTTATTTGAATATTTTAGGCCAGAATTGTAACTTTTCAGAATGTATCCTTGGGCAATTTGGCTGAATTGGTAGAGCCTCTCTTTTCATCTGTCAAATGGGGATAATCTCTTCTTTCAGCAGGTTATCTTAGGGAATAAACAATGCAGAGTATGTGAAACACCTAGTGCAGTTTCTGGTACCCAGTAGAGGTACTTAAAGATGTTAGTAGGTAACAAAAATATTCTCCTAAGTTTCACTATTCAGTCAGCTTTGTCCCTCTCCTGGCTCTATACCCGAAGGAAATGCAATCAGTACCTCCAAGAGACATCTGCACTCTCCTGTTCACAAGAACATTATTCACAATGACCAAGATGTAGAAATAACCTAAGTGTCCATCAACAGACTAAAGAAATTGTGGTTATAGATAACGTATGTATATACACATACAAAAGAATATTATTTAGTCTTAAAAAAGGAGATCCTATTTGCAATAACACAAATGAACATGGAGGGTATTAATTAAAATAAGCCAGACACAGAAAAGAGAAAACTGCATTTCACTTGCACACATGTGGAATCTAAAAAAGTCGAATCCATAGAAACAGAGAGAAGTATGGTGGTTATTAGGAGTAGGGAGGTGGGGGAGATGTTGGTTAGAGGGTACAAACTTTCAGTTATAAGGGAAATAAATCTAGAGGTTTAGTACACAGCATGAAGACTATAGTTAATAACTGTTGTCTTGAATACAGGGAATTTAGTGTAGATTTCAGGCGTTCTCATCACATACACAGTAACTGTGAGATGACATGTTAATTAGCTAGACTGTAGTAATCATTTCACTATATATATCAAATCATTACATTGTATACCTTAAATACATACAATTCTTATTAAAAAGAAAATGTCCAGAACATGCTGTTCAAAAGGTTGTGGTTGCCCTGGCTGGTGTGGCACAATGGATTGTGTTCTGGCCTATGAGCCAAAAGGTCGCTGGTCGGATTCCCTGTCAGGGCACGTGCCTGCAGTGCAGGCCGGGTCCCTGGTTGGACAGTGTGTGCAAGAGGCAACCGATGAACGTTTCTCTGGCACATCAATGTTTCTCTCCCTCTCTTTTCCCTCTCCCCATTAAAAAATTAGTAAATAAATACATTATTTTAAAAAAAGGTTGTGGTAAACTCTTTTGTATACCAAAGACTTCCCTGCAATAAAATAGATGCATGCATACAATTTTAAATCATCCTGCAAATTGAAATTCTGTAGTTTTCTTACATTAAGGGTATATCTCTATTCCATTTTCTAATAAGTTTGGCATCCATCTAACAATATGCAGTTCTCAGGATTTTTCTCCTAAGAAATTCAAACCCACTAATTTGAAACCCAGAAGGTGTAAAAGTGTGAAATGTAAAGTGTTGCAATTCCTACAGTTTTCCATGTGTATAGTGGCTAGTTGGTTCATCTCAGGAAAGAGAGACATTATGCTTGGGGAACAATGTCAATTCAAAGTCACTCAAGTCACTTGACAAATAAAATTGAAGCAATCATTTCCTGTTAATTGCTTAGAAGTACTAAGTGTCAATGCCCTTGTGCATTGTGGGTCCAAGAAGAGCTCATACTTACCTTTTGCGAGGTTTCTATGAACTGAAAGCAAAACCAGTCTGCTTCTAACCTCTTTTTGATTCTGTGCTTTAAGTTAAAAAAAGTCCATTTACACATACAAACACATTTATACATGTATGTGTATACATATATTTCTGCTTAAAATAAAAGAACATTATTTCTTATGGTTAAAAGAAGTCAATATTTAAACAGATATTTCTCTGATATTCATCACTTGACTAGGGCAGAAAAATGGGCGTTTAGGGCCTAGTAGTTTTAGGTTTTCAATCAATGTTTCTTAGTCATTATTGATAAGAACTCAAATTCAGCTACAATCTAATTATTAGCAACACTGGTTTGCTTTTAAATATTCAGAAGATTGCAAAATATAATTATCACAGTTTTTTGCTTAAAATATATAGTACACTAAGGATTGTTTGGACACAAGTCAAAGTAAATTTTTTCTTTTTTTAATAAACAGCGTGATGTTACAGACTGCGAAGTTAAAGAAAAAGCAGACATTGACAGTTTCTGATGAGCACAAACAGTAAGTGCAGCCACAGGCCAGCCTTCTTGCTAGGAACAGCAAGACTGGGAAGAGGTCTGAAATTTAGTGACACTGGATGATTCTCTAGTCTCGGCACAGTAACACATGCATCTTGCTGTGTCAGATATCTTTTGGGCCCTCATTAAGTGAACATTTAGAAACATTTCTCTCCTAACTAATATAGTACACCACAGGACTTCAATTCATTGAATGACAAAATATAGAGAAATAGATTTGCTACAATAAATGGGGCTAAAATGGGTGGTGGGAGCTACTTTTTAAAACTTGCAAAGTCAACATTCGCCGTGTTAGCAGTAGTCTTTTGGTTGTGCCACAACCCCCAAGATGTTCAAGTGTTATGTTCCAAAAGGATATATTCTTTTAGATTTTATTCAACCCAATTAAGTAGAAGGACTGAATCACATTTAAACCACTGATTGCATTTGAAACTTAGGTTCTATAACCAGACATTTCTAGAAATCAGATGAAGGCCAACTTCTCCAACCACTCTTGGGAACATAAATGAAGTATGGTAAGGGGCTTTTCTTGTGAAATCAATGGATAACGATCACATTTAAAAATTTACACTGGAATTAATGAGTACAGTCTTATTAAAGATATTTTGAGAAAATACCAAAGTTGGTTTTCTTCCTCCTTGCTAACTTAGAAGAATTAACAAAAATAAGAATCATGTAAACATGTACATGGCTCTTAGCATAACCACAATATTATTGCAGTGGCAGATGAAAGATGATTTGATACATTCGTAGACTTCAATAGCTTACAAAATGCATCAATAAAACCCCTTTCCATATTGACCAACATGAGAAATGGAGTCTATGGCTGGTAGTGAGTCAGTTACCCAACTAGGCTAAATGTACAAGAAAAATTTCCTTATGGCTCATAACTGTCACTTTATGCTAGCTAGCATGGCTCTAATATTAACATATCTAAAATATTAATGCAGCTAAGCAAAAGGAATGGTGCTGCACTGATAAAAAGGAAGTGCAAAACTTGAATCAAGTGAAATACTTGAGTGAAATAAGCTTATTTAAAAACTAACATCCCAACTTGGGAAACTCCTAGTAAATTCTAAACTCTTCTGAATTTTAGAACCTTGATGTTTACACCTTTTATAAAAGATGCCTCTTGACTAGAGCTAGCAAGCAGTGTGTATACAAATAGAAATGTGTGCAAATACACACACATTAATTTTACTAATGATCAAGAAAAGAGAACACAACTAATTTTGAATACCGAATTTTAAGAACCTAGTACCATGAACCTCCTACCACTATTGCCTTTTTCAAATGGCTGGAGAAATAATCAAATTTTTAACCAGATTTTTTTCTTAATGTTTCCAAAGCCATTAAAAAGAAGGCATGCCAACTATGACTTTGTAAATCTAAAACACAGTGCTCTGAAAATTTCTGTAATATCAGAGCCTGAAGTACTGAATTCTGACTCATCTATTTTTTTCCTTATTAACCTTCTGAGGTAGAGTTACCAATCCAATTTTATCAGAACCATAGGCATCTTGAGCTAACCACTATATGCTTTTCAGAAAGTGAACATAACTTTTAATAGAAAAGAAAAAAGGCTTCCCAGGCCATGGCACGTAAGATACATTTACAATTTTTAATGTAATAATTAAAAAAATGGTTTGTGTTTATATTTAAAAAACAAACAGCCCAGCTGTATTATTCTGTCAACAAGAATTATTATCTGAGTATCCTGCCAGTGCTGAATTTTTTAGTTCAGCCTTCACAATCCCATCCCTGATGAACAGATAATTCATTACCGTATGGTGTGCACAATATACTCTCACAACTTTTGGCCTTCTCTAGTGCCCAGTCTGAGCAGGATATGAAGAATGTACTTCATTCAAACAACTCCTCCCTGTTTTGCTCCCTCCCTCCACATTCCCCTCTTCTCAATCACATCTGAAGTATGAAAGTTGTTTTTAAATAGTAGAAGCACCACAATCCATTAACACCACATATGGCCTTTAAACTGAAATGCTATAGTGATGTCTTGGATGTCAAAATCAATTTTTTAAGGTGTATTCTGAGTGTGTGGGCCCAGCCCAGGTCTGCAGTTGGTGCAGACACAGAAACAAAAGAAACATAACATTCTGAAAAAGTTAACCTGTTGGCTTGAAAATAACGCTAGAAATTAAATTTCTTCCAAGAGCTGGCAAGCATGGCTGTTGGTCAAGATATGAATTAAATGGATTTACAAAATCATTAAGAAACAAATCCAAGTTTATATGCTATGAAATTTCCATAGTGCCTTTAGAATAGATAGGCTGCTCATAATTTTTTTATAATGCCAAATCACGGAAGTTTTGATGGAAAAAAATACAGATGGACTGCATTTTATCTATGTGAAAATTACCAATCCATTTAAAATAAAATCTAAGAGGGTATATACATTCTAATCAAGTCATTGATTATTTTCCTGATTAATAAGAACTACACTTTACAGAAAATACTTTATCAGCAGCTGTTTTCATCAAAAACCAATAGTCATAGTTTCACAGTTGAAAAAGTTACACATTAAAATATTTTACAATTCATTGTATATTCACCAGGTTCCCATTTTCTAAAGGGCTTATAATATAAAGCAGAGTAGAAGGGAAAACCTCAAAGTTAATTACTTTGACACTAAGTTTTACACAGGACACAAAGAACCACAAAAAGCTTAGGTTCTATCATAAAATAGATACCAAGTTCCATTCTTGATTAAAAAATCCAATTAGAAACATCTTTAAAAAAATCCACAATATGATTAACAGGTTCAAATTAACAACAGTCTCAAAATCTTTAAAATAAACAATTTTGGATAACTGAGAATACAACAGAAAGTTAAAGCATGATTTTCAAACAGTTATTTCTTCCTAGATGTGTTTAGAATTAGGTTTTACTTTCTTTAAACCTCTTTTCCCCCCTCCAAAATAATCATTGAAGGAAATAGTGCTGAAGTGAACAAATGAAATTGTACAGCCGACAGTCAGTTACAGCACATTTGGTGACGGATGGCTGGCCGTAGGAACTGATCAGTCGGAACTGATCTCTGATTCTGAAGTACCTGGAAGTGACTACACAGTCACTATCTGAAACATATCCTAGTCACCCATGTGGCATTTAATTCAGTTTTTGGTTCTTTGCCTTCTGAGAACTACTTGTCCCTTTTTTTCTTATTTTTAATGCTGTTTGCTTAAACTCTGCTTAGATTTATTTAAAATTTACTTTGCTTTTAGCTAGACCACTTACTCTATATTCTTTATAAAATTTGTCTACACTTCTCAGGCAGACTTAATTTGGTTGTAATAACTCTTGAAAATAAATGTCAATGATTAAATAAAGTATGTGGCATGTGTTTTAATGGTGGAGAAGTCCTAGGGAAAGGGGATGATCTGAACTGATGTGAAAAATGCTAAAATTGTATCAATTTTATGCAAGGAAGCTCAAAGGTTTTTTGGCACTCGGGTATAACATGGTTCTCTGTTAAAACTTCAGTTTCCACCATTGAAGTTTCAGATTTGTACCATTTCACTGAATTTTCCTATAATCAATCCCTGATATAGAAGAGACTGGGATGTTAGTATGTATAACTGAATAGATCTAAAAGACAAAATGTTAATCATGAAGTTTTCATAAGTTATGAATCTTTTATATCTGCAAAAGAATCCATTAGTTTCTTGCTTAGAAGTGTTTAAATTCCTCTTAACCATTCCAAGACAGTGTAGAGAAATAAATTCCCCTAATCTTCAAATTTATTTTTCTTGTTGGCAATATTATATACATGCTTTAATGAAGTACCTAAATCTCTGGTAATTATGCCCTTTAAGGGATCTAAAATAGCCAAATATTAAGAATATTTGTATTAGAGTCCTTGTTCACTATTCAAGACTTTTACTACAGGTAACTGATTTAATAAATGAAGATTTTTTTAAGTGATGCTGTTTCAC